AATTAAATGTATGTTGTTAACAGATTTCACATAACTGTTTAATGTTAGTTGTAAGTTGAACCTAATTTATTTTTTTCAACTTGTATTAATGCTTTTTTCAGTGCAGTTTCTCTCCTGTTCTCTCTTCTCCTTTCCTTCCCTCTGCATTCAATCAGTATCTCAGCTGACTGAAGTGTGGATGAGGGTGGAGTACAGCGTGATCACGTACTACACAGACTGGGGTGTCCCTGCAGAGGAGGATTCTGAGACAGCAAGAAATGTAGACCTCCAAAGCATTTGCTAAGAAAGCAGAACTCCATGTCAAATGTTTAGAGCAATGTTTCCTCTCATTGGTGAAAGAAGTATTAAATGTATTTGAGCCTGGGTTATCTTTTGGGAATGGTATGGAACCAGTTTGTTGGACCACTCTGTTGGTACTGTACTAGGATGGGTTAAAAGCAGAGAACACATGTCACTGTGTGTGCTGTGTGCTCTGCATGTGTGACCATTAAAGAGGGTTTCATCCCTCCCATTCTATCTATATATTTGTTTCTATTGGTGGAGTGTGTGTGATGGATGTGTGTGTGACTTTCATAGATTCAGATTCTGTTGAATTAGGGCCGTACAGAGTATTTTGTAGGTTTGAACTTCATTTCTAACATTCACATTTTAAATAAACATTAGATTCTGTGCAGCATGTCTATTAAATAGATCTGTGTACCTGCTGCTATGCTACACGAACAAAATGCCTCAGGACATCGCTGCAGATCAATGCGAGGCAGCCGGAGAGCAAGGTCATGTGACCCTTGGGAGAAAAGGTGACATTGGCTGAACCGTCGCTGCTGGCCAGACAGCCGGCACCAGGTCTCCCAGCTGGAGGGGGGAGGTCTGGCCTGATCATGAATGGTGGAGGAACTAAAGCTTCAGTTCTGAGCCGTGTGACCTCATGTAGTAATTGCTAGAGATGGGCGAGTCCTGATTCATCCGGATCATTAACCCGGATCCTAGTAATGAGCTGGTCATGACGAGTCTCCCCTCTCCATTAACCCGAGTCCTTTGAGTCCTACACCTGGTGACGTACAAATGTAAACTATAAATTGCCTCACTCGCTACTCTCCTTATAACATGTAAAATCACATTACAACGTACCCCAGTCCATCTGCCTAGCCTTTAACAAGTAGGAGCTGCCAGAAGTTATCGTTTGGCTCAGGGGAGGCGGATCAGTGAAACTTCCTGCAGGCTCGGGCGGACTCAGAGCCGTAACCGTAGCAGATCCAGAGATCCAGACTCATCATGCACGAGTCAACAGCAGACACAGATTCGCAAATCCTGACTCACTGAATCAAGGGAACTTCCTTCACTTCCTGCAGACTCATGGGGCATACTTGCTAACCCTCCCGATTTCATTGCCCTCTCCCGGTTTCCTCCCTTCCCTGAGTCCGTAAAAGGATCCGGATTTGCCATCTCTAGTAATTGCCTACTCTGTTGTAGTATAGTAAAAACCTAAGTACATTTACAAGTACTTTAATAAAGTGCTGTACTTCTCCACTACAATTCAGAGGCACGTATTACGTAACTACATTTATTACATAGCGTTAGTTACTTTGAAGATTCTGATTAATAAAACCAAATACAATCAACAAAAAAATGATCATGTATTATCATAGGTTAAAATTATGTATAAAAACACAAGCTAGCAGCAGTATACGGTATAAAGTTAAATCATAGCTCCTACTTTACCAGCTGCAAGGTTAGAGTGATAAAAATGATCGCAATAGTAATTATAATTAAATCTGCAGCGATGAGCGGGTCTTCGACGCTCCGCGCAGGTTCGCTGTTGTCCGCATGTCGACGTCGCGCAGATGCTTTCCGGACTCGGCCGTTAGCAAACGTGGGAAGTTTCAGGCCGATCGGACAATGTACATGGGAGGTACAGCAGTAACATAAACATTGTGTTTGATGGCGAGTGATCTGTCGCCATGGCAACGGCATATGATGACACCCCATAATAGGCTTAGATTACTTGAGATCTGCATCGTTAGAAAATATGTGAAGTTTGACCAGTTTATGACCATTTTCCTAGGAGTTATAGCAATATCGTGTTTAACGGCGAGGGATGCGTTGTCATGGCAACGGCTTTTGAGGAAAACTCACAAGTGACCATTAACCATCCTCTGAGCTCTGGTGCCATTTGGAAGATTTTCCTTTGAGTTGCGACAATATCATGTTTTATGGCGAGGGATGCGTTTGCATGATGAAACCTCAGATTTGACTTAGAGCTGTTCAGGGCCGCAGTGTTAACCATCATGTGACGTTTGGCGGTGTTCGGAGTATGTCAGTTGGAGTTATGACATCATCATGTTCCATGGCGAGGGATTGCCTAGCATCGAGCGAACGTGAAAATGGGCGCCACATAACGACTACACTGTGCGGTGAAAAATTACGATTTGGATAACTTTCCATCCCCCATGTCTTGAGACGCTACCCGCCGAATTTGGAGTCGATCGGATAAAATCCCGAGGAGAAGATCTCTGAAGTATGGAGGGTGAAATTCAAAATGACCGACTTCCTGTACGTTTTTTTATATTTTTTATACAGGCTATTTAAAAAAACATGATATTAGATTTTAAACCATAAATATTTTTCTATTCATGTTTTTGTCGTAAATATGTATAATTCAGCCTACTTTCAGCTACTGAAACCATATTTCTATAAATATAAGTTTATATTCATTACTTCTATTCATATTTCTATGTCTATATTTTTTATTTCTTGTTATGTATACACTTTTTCTACATTCATTTTTTACATCTGTATACATACATATATATATATATCAAGTCCTGTCCTGATGCGCGTGCAAAGTTTGGTGAGTTTTAATATATGTTCAGGGGGTAAAAAGTGCGCGTAATGTTTTAAAATAAGAGTCCTAAATAATAAAAATCCTATCGATATCAATAATGAATTGTGTGACATTGCACCCACGTCACACAATTTGCGCGTGTGTGTGCGTGTTGTAATGTGTGTTTATGTGTGTTTGGCAGGGTTGTCGCTCGCTCTTCACCCTAATTCAATAATATATCATTTCCATGCATGCGTAATTGCTTTCATAATATATTTAAGTTATTAGCAGTTCTGATCTTAAATCATAAAAATGTAAGGTTCTAATTATGCAGAAAAAAATCCCTGAGTGACTGATATTACAACCAGCTTTTTTTGGTTTTAAGCTTTTTATGTACAGTACTCCGGTCCTCTAAAGGTTCGCAAGATATGTCTGAGGGCCCATGAGAGGATACACAGGATATCATATAAAAATATAAATTACGAGAGATGGAAAACTACGTACTTAGAAATGGATCTAAACTATATTTTGATTTGTCTGAGGGGCCACCGTTCTCTGTGTAAGTGATTCTTTTTTTGTATAGCTTTCTAGTCTTTATTAAACAAGACACGCAACACAAACATCTTAAAATGAGAACACATGATTTATGCCAGTATTTAGTTCAATTTCATCTGCAGCGGGCAGGAACACACAGAACAATCACTAAACACCCGTCACATCTAAAAACACACACACACACACACACACACACACACACACACACACACACACACACACACACACACACACACACACACACACACACACACACACACACACACACACACACACACACACACACACACACACACACACACACACACACACACACACACACATTCATCCAGTACAAATGTACAATTATTCATTATAAGTAAAAACCAGAGTCACGGTCAATATGATGTCAACATGAATGGGAACTAAATATCTTCTTATTTTCTGTATAATGGGAAAATAATTAAAGTCTTTGTAACATTTTAGCTAATCTTAAAAGCAAACTATATGGAAGACGATTATGGCCAGACATAAGGGGAAAATAAATCAGAGGGGGAAGTTTTTATCTTTTTACATCTCTTGTTTTTTTGTGACGAAGAAGAGTACCAGTCCTCAGAGTTCATTCTCAGAGGTCGAATATTACCGGAGAACACTTCCTGACAGCAGTCTGCTACTCACTGTACTTCTGCTGAGTTTAACCAAAAGAGAAATATTTGAATACAAAACACCACACACAGTGGGTGTTTATTCAAATTCAAAATTCAAATTCAAAAGCTTTTATTGTTATTGTACAGAATACAACGAGATTTATAGTTACTGCTCCAGCGAGTGCTTTAAAAACAGACATATTAAAACACAGATTAAAAGGTCTGACAGTTACGACCAGCAAGTAGTGCACACAGTTTCGGATCGTCATGGAGATGAGCAGGATTAATAAATAAATGAATAAATGAATAAAATAGAATTATGATAAAATATATATGATAAATATTAGTGTATACATACATAGAGACAGACCATGATTATTGCACAGTGGGGATATGGGGAGTTATTTTTGTGTGTTTAATGTCCTAATGGCCCATGGGAAGAAACTGTTTGTGAATCTGGAGGTGCGGGCTTTCAGTGAATATCTTACTGTTAGCCTCCAAGGACTTCATTAAAACAGTCTGAGGACTTCATGATTTGGTGAAATAAAGTCAATTTAACTGGTTGTCTTACTGAAAAACTGTGAACTAAAATACTTTTGGTGTCACACAGGATGATGGATGGTAATGTTTCTAAGAGGGGAAATTTAGCACATTTATAAATAATGATATCAAGTAAAGTCTGAAATCACCTGCAGACCAGCACAGCATCAGAGACTGCAGCTGTCTGTCAGTGGAAGAGAGTGCATTTATATGTAATAAGTTCAACTGTTTTAATAACAATCCGTTACAACAAAATGATAGAATGAAAATGAAAAATATATGTGTGCTTTACCCAGGTCAATGTGAGTGACAGAGGGAAATCTGCTCTAATTGTCAGGTGTTTCCCTCCTGATGGAGACTGATGCGCTGCGAAATAAAGCACGTGCAAGGAATGAGTTTCTTTCAGGAACTCCTAACAGAGAATACCCTCGCGCCGGGGTCGCGTGCATGTCTCTTACCTGTAATTGTCCCACTCCCGTCCCGCACCTGAACGCCTCTCACAGCATCGGGGGGGCTGCTACAATCCACGGGGGGTGTCCGGGAGACATTTGGTCCTGGATTTGTGGGGAAATTCGGGAGTGGTGCCTCTTTCTTTGAGGAGGAAATCAAAGGGCTCTGTCAGAATCAGACACGAGAAACAGCGTGGACATGTCCGCGGGTCTCGTGCATCCACACCTCGCGCCTGTCTACCGGTGTGTCCCCCGACAGCTGCTGACTCTCTGTACCTCAGCTTCAGTGTGTGGTCAGCCGGAGATGAAATATGAATGTCTCAGAGACGCTCCTCTCTGTGCAGCGCGCGCTCCGCCGCCTCGCTCCGTCTGCCCGCTCCAAGTCTCGCGCGCTAACTTTATGAGACTCCGGAGCGCAGCGCCGCTACGCAGTCACTCCCGCCTTAAAGTAATCTGATTACTGTCAAGGACTCCTGTGAGTTAGGGTATAACATGTTTTCACAAGGACTGACACTGAAATAAGTTTGCGTTGTTTCCGTTATCCCCTGCAAATGAATGAAGATCAATCATAATGACATTTGATATGATAAAGAGACTACAAAAAAACGAGTGATGTTATGGTGTTCACAAACTACATAATCATAAGACTTTAAGGCTCTGTTTTAAGAAAAAATTAATAAATCACAAAACACAATAATACCAGAGACACAATCCCTCATTCAGGAAGTGGTACAGCAACATGTTGTATTAAAGTCCAGCTGCTGGGATACAATCAGTGAATTATTTATCTGAAATTGCAATTAAGCGATCATTTGACATAGGATGAACAATTCTACCTGAAGCAAGTCATTCACAAAATGACTTGTTTACATCTTCCAGTGTTTAGAGCAGCAGCATGATGATGACAGCAGACTCCTCTCACTGACACAGCGCAGTACTGCCTCCCTGTGGACACTTCCGGTATTACACCAGCCTGTTCCTGACACCTTCCTGCAGAGGAACAGGAAACACTGGAAAAGGCTGGTCATTAACCTTCAGTAACATTTAAACATACTCCACTCTAAGAGAACATAGTTTAATCAAAAATGTTTATTCCATTGTGAAAACATTCCTGTCACACACGCACACACCCAATTGTCTTTTTACAAACAGCAAGAATTCCTTTATAATGCAGGTGAGGAGACATTAAAATCATCAAAGTGACAGAAGCTCAGAGTGATTGGCTTTTGCAGTTCATTTGGAAATAAAGGGGAACACGTAGAAAGTCTTTCAGCTCTGTCCATCAGGAAATCACAACACATGATGCCGTTTTATTTTTGAACTCTGGAAGATATTCTCCTAAGGCAATGATGAGAAACAGTCTTTCTGAGTGTGACTGATAGAGCGAGCGTCTACGCGCTGCAGGTTCAGCGGCGATTGTTCACGCTGCTTCTGAAAGGCATCAGCGGCTGTAGTAGTAATAAGTTCATAAACTTAGTTCCTCAGCACTCCTCTTTGATGTAGATTTGTTCGTCTGTGTCTGACTCCAGGTGCTCCAGCCGCTCCGTCTGTCCGTTCATGATCTCATCGGGGGTCTTCATGAACCTGAGGGGCGCCACACAGAAACGACGGCTCATTTATCCACATTGATGCTGTAAACTAGACAAACTGATGATGTCGTTCTGTCTTTAAGAGGCTTTACCTGAACAGAAGTCTTTGTCCGGGCTCTTTCCTGATGATGTTCAGTTTGTAGTAGTGTCTCAGTGCTCGCGACATCTTCTCGTACGTCATGTTGGTCCTGTTCTGTTAGGGGGAAGACAACAGCAGTGTTATTCATAATAATAATAATAATAATAATAATAATGAGATGCAAAATTCGATTTTTCTACATCTTAATGAGCTTTCTGTCATTTAAAGCTGTCACATGGGGGCAGACCTTTCATTTGACATGGTAGATCAATTCTGCTCACCCAGAAATACCTCTCACCTGCAGTGACATTCATCAGTCAGTCTTCTCTCTAAAACTATGGGAAAGGATAGCACTGGGCTTGAGGAGCTGATGGTACTAGATCAAAATACATTTAACCTCTTTCCAGAGACCAGTTACCAAAGATATTTTCTTTCTGCGCATTGATGTGGTAGAAAGAAAATAGTTTGTACATAAACTGCTCCCAACAATGTCTGTGGAATATCTTGAATAACAGGGTCATGGCTGACTCCATTATATGAGAGAGGAGTCAATATCTCCACCACCAGTCGCCTCACACCAAAACAACCTAGATAAATGAAAACTATTTTTTGTTTATTTTGGGGTGAACTGTCCGTTAAATACAGGACAGTTTGATCAGTGCAGCCTTTTATTACGGTTAAAGTCATTTTGAAGTGTGTTCTACCGATACTAGTTTCAACAAATTCCCTAAAAAGCAACGTCACAGTCTTCTTCCAAGGTGTTTATCAGGAAGACTTACATCATGACGGCGATAATAAAAGCCATATATTGTTCAGCTCAAGCATACAGTCTGTGCTCCTGTCAATGCATGGCCTCATCCAGTGGCAACATTCATATTATATTATATTATTATTAGGGCTGTCAAGTTAACGCGTTAATAACGCACATTTTTTTTAACGCCACTAATTATTTTAACGTGCGATTAACGCATGTGTATTTGTCCTCGGCCCGCCCCGTAGTTTCAGAGCCCAAAGGCTTGACGTTGTTGTTGTTAGTTGGATGGTGGGAGATTCTAGCGAGAGATATGGATACAAAAAAAGGTGTTTTAAACAGCAAGCCAAGCACACAGCTGATGCTGACAGCCCGCTCCTGCCGCTCGCTTGCGGCAGACCACGCTTGAAAGTTTGCCGGGGAGATGCCTGGACACGGCGTCTACGAGCAGCAAGCTTTCAACAGCGATAACTAAATGGGTGGCTACAGCTTAACATTTTGGGGGACGAGGGGCTGCGTTAGATAATTCGGATCGCATCCAACGTCTCGACTGCACATCACAGCGCATTATTAGCGTCTCATGCTTTGACTGGTATGAAGACAGAGGAGCGGCATTTCACCGACAAATGTAAACAGGCTTGTCTGTTTGAGCAACTGGCTCAGTGCAGAGAAGTACACAGGTTTGGGAGAGAGAGAAAGAGAGAGAGAGGTTCCAGGTTGTTGTATTGAGAATATTCAGGAGAATATTTGTCATTGTTCCAATGATAATAAACAAACATTTGCATAAAGCATATTTGTTTTACAAATATCCCTCTAATTTAGAACAGATAAAAAATGTGCGATTAATCGCGATTAACTATGGACATCATGCGATTAATCGCGATTAAATATTTTAATCGACTGACAGCCCTAATTATTATATATATTATACGGCTCTGAAAAGATCTGAAAATAACCCGCTCCAGCCAGGTAAGTTCTGCAGAACAATCACCAGAACAATCATCAAAACTCTTTAAACTCGACCCCCCCTCTATCCTGCTAAAAGCCTCACTGTGTGTGTGTGTGTGTGTGTGTGTGTGTGTGTGTGTGTGTGTGTGTGTGTGTGTGTGTGTGTGTGTGTGTGTGTGTGTGTGTGTGTGTGTGTGTGTGTGTGTACCTTGTGGTTCCCCCACAGCCTGGCAAGGCCGTTGGGGTCCATGATGCGGAACACCTTGCTCTCCGTGTCCTCCCAGCGGATGTAGTTCTCGTACCGGCTGTTTGACAGGAGCTGGTAGACGTAGTCCCACAGCAGCCTGCAGTCTGAGGACACACAACGTCTTTACCCACCATGCTTTGCGGTAAGTGATAAGTGAATGAGGTCTGAAGTGTCTCCTCACACGTGTCTGAAGAAACAGCAGCTTTGACCTTTGACAGGTAAATCTCACCTGCGATGCGTCCGATGGGGATCTGCTGCTCCTCGGGGGGGGACACGGGCATGATGACGTGGTTCCTGTAGAGCGCCTCCTCCTGCTTGAACTGCTGCTGGGACAGAGACATCTGAGGGTGGAGGCTGTGCCCCTTCAGCTCCCGCCCGTTCTCCAGCGCCGCATGAGACGGGGGTCCGTGGCTGTGCCTGAAGTCCATGGCGGCCCCCCCGCCGCTCCTGCTGGGGCTGAGCAGCAGGGGGTTCATGATGGCGCTGGGAATGAGCTGGATGATGCGAGGAGGGCCTGCCTCCTGGCCCCCGGGGCTGCCTGGGCAGGGGTCTCGGGGCGCGACGCAGCGGCCGTTGGGGGCAGCGGGGGACACTGACAGGGGGTACATGTCCTCCTTGGGGTGGTGGTTGCTGTCGGGCAGCTGAGAGAAGGTCTGCAGGTGGTCATCTGTGGGTGTGCGGTGGGGCTCCGGAGGGGACAGCCTGGTCTGAAGGTGGGGGGAGCGTGCGCGGTGGCGCAGCTCGATGGTTGGGGGGTGCTGGGGGAGGGGCTCTGAGCCACGAGGCGCCCGTCGTACCGTGTCTGAGGAGAGAATCACAACATGAGGTTAATACAGCAGCAGCTCACACACCGACAGTCAGGGGTTAAGAGTTTCTGTTGAGCAATATTCTTATTCTTGGTTTATTTGATACACAGTCCAAGATTGGCAAAGTGATTCATTACTGTTGTGTATTTCATAATGAGCAGCCTATAGGTAAATGATAAATAGGAATGCACCAACAAATATCATTTAAAAATAGTTAAAAAGTGAAACCCTAACTCTTTGATGCTTTTACTTTATTTTTGAATTATACATTTGATATGTGAATTTCGTGTTTGCTTTTTGATTTGTCCTTTTAGTTTATGGTGAATATATAAAGCCATGATGTTTTGTGCCTGGCATTATATTAGACAGTGGGTGTTTCTCAATCGCGAGTACGCTTGCTTGGTAGCACATGTCTGCCGAGCATCTTGCTTCAGAAGCGAGTCAAGAATACTTCCTGACATTTGGAAAACAAAGAGTGGAACAGGCTAGCAAGTGTGCAGGTGTGCGTCATATGAGAGGCCCCACATTACATTTTCCGCCACAGATTTGGGGAAATTGGTCCGTGCGCAAAGCATTGTGGGGATTTTAAGACCGCGAAGTCTACTCATGTGCAGCCTCAATATTTCTCCAAACGGAGTACGCCGGGCTCGGTAGATTTCCAAGTATGCTGGAGATTGGAACAGTACTTCGGCGGCACTCGATGACGTAGTATGCTTGAAATAGTGGCTCTGAAGCAGCTTTACTCGAGATTGAGAAACACCCACTGTGTGATGAAAGAGGCAGGGCAGAAGGGGGCAGCAGAGAGCTGGGCCTTCAGAGTGCTACAGGCCTGCCTCTTGAACCTAAGTTCAGGTAGCACTGCCTCCCCCCTCTGAAAAGACATCCCCCCCACCTTCACCGTCTCTAGTCTTCTTTTCAGTGAAATTAACTTTTTTTCTTTTGGACGTCACCTCTGCTCTAGGAAATGATGATTTGTGGGTGTATAGGGTTCTCTGTGTTTGCTCTGCAGGTGTGCCCACAGTGATCACATGCTGGCTGTCAGCAGTGGTGGAATGTTACTCAAGTACATTTGAGTACATTTACTCAAGTACTGTGCATAAGTACAAATGTAGGTACTTTCACATTATGCTACTTTATATTTTTATTCCACCACATTTTGTAGGCAAATATTCCCAACTTGAACTAAGAGCCACATTGAAGTAATGAAGACATTGATTTGTCAATAACTGTAGTCAAACAATGTCAAATGTATGATTAAATGGATCACGGTGCTTATTAAGCATTTTACAACATATACCATAACATGCCAAAGTGCTTTTTTTTTTACATTCAACACTATAATAATCAGAAGGAGAAATATGAACGTTACTTTATCACTGATAAAATAAAGTCAACATTTCACAGAGTTTACTGAGCTGTGTGGGGTTTCTTAAACTGTTGGGGATGGTGACAACAATACGTTTGACTTTA